TAGAAATATATTAAATGTCAGCTATAAGGATTTTGGCAAATTACGGTGGTTCTCCCAGACGGAAGAACGAACGAGCACAGCGCAAACCTCTAATGAATGTGAAAGGAAAATGGTAGCACATCGCTTCCTTTCGTGCAATATATATTTAGACAAAACTGAATTACGCTCAATGCACCGGAAGCCACTGTTTAAGCGCGACATCTCCGAAGGCACGTCAGCTTGACACGTTTTGCTGCTTCGAATGTGAAAGGTACACTGCCAGGCTCAAACACCAAGAAAATCGGAAATTTACAGGCTGAAAAGTCTCGGACATCAGGAATTGTATTTTCTCAATTTTGAGTACCTTCAGTACTTTGAATACCTGCAAAATGACAGTTAAACAAAACTTCAATATCTCTAAGGATGAATTTCATTATTACTGCAAGGTAGGAAGTACGGTCGCGCAAGGTCGCGCACTCCAAATCACTTTTTTGTAATGCTTTAAGTCATTTTAATGCTAAAAGATCTGTATACATTGTTCTGAAAACCATTTGCGCGCGCAACATTTGGTTGCGGAGACATGGCGCAACAAATGGGTGAAAAGTTTAAATGCATTGTTGTGTACCACAAGTCTGGCTATTACATGATCTTCTTAAAAATTTCCTATAAAAGACACATGGCCATAAAGTCGAAAGTGAACTAATTTCCGGTTCACACTCACTGCAGACTTGGCCCATCTTTTGGGTGAGGTGAAAATTTTCCCCATTTTTCCCAGCCCATCTCACCTTTTAGGTGGAAATGAGGATGAGGTGGGAAAGAGCCGCAGACGAGGTGAGATGGGCTGGGATTGTTAGAAGATGGGGTGGGATCCAGAAAACAAATAAAAATAAAAAATGTTGATATTTTCATCTGTTTTTCAGGCTAGGAGCATGTAAAAATGCGCCATTCGAGCTCCAAAAACAAAAAATTTTCCGCGCTCCGCGCGGATTTTATCAATAAGTGAACATATTTTCTTGGGAACCAACATTTGTTTCGCCCGGCAACTCTATGCTATACGGAAAACTTGCAAAATTAACGGCGCTGAGCCTGTAAAAAATGGGGATGAAGATGAGGTCCAAAAGGTGAGATGGGCTGAAAATTTGAGTAGCCGGAGTTGGGCTGGGTTGGGAATTAAACTGTGAAGGTGGGGGTGGGGTGAAAGTGGGAAAAGCGAAAATGGGCCAAGTCTCACAGCATTATTTTCCGATTTTAAAATGAATTTCAAAATTTTTAAAATTAATTTTAAATTATGGGAAAATGCTATGAATCTGAAGTTGGTTCACTTTCGACTTTATGGTCATGTGTCTTTTACAGCAAAGTTTCAAGAAGATCGGGTAATAACCAGGCTTTTGGTGCACGACAATGCATTTAAACTTATCGCCCGTTTTGTTGCACTACATCTCGGCAACCGGATGTTGCGCAGTTAAACGGTTTTCAGAACAATGTATTCAAATCATTTAACTTTTTGTTATACTTTATGTCATTCTAAAGTGATTTGGAGTGCGAGAAAGCGCAAGTTTTAGTGTATGTATCCCAGTTTGGATGCCATGTACCGGGCCACTACCTTTAATGCTTGCTTTCTTGAAAAGCAGCCGCACGTTTCCAAATGCCGTGACTCGTGAGAGCGTGGTTAGGCAATTTACTTCGTTTTTGGTAAATCCCGTTACGACGTTGCGAAATGGTGCGTGGGTGATATGGTAAGTCGCTCGTTATAGTACTGATTTTGTAACCTGAGATTAGCCACTAACCACAATCCTGTGCCGTAATTCCCTTTTAATGCAAGAATGGATTCTGATTCGGCTCGATCAAGTTTCACCACCGAGTTTGTGTACGAGAAAGCATCACCACGCAGCGTACGCAAACTGTGTAGTGCCCCTCGATCGAGCCGTACAAGTTTCACCAGCTAATCCAGTTTTCATACTGCGGGCATTCGACGCGCCACGCCCCGTATTGTCTGCGTGCCTAAATGCATTAGCATTTCTGGTGCGCAGGAAATGCAGATCTATGTAACCGGAAAAATCTGCGATGTAAAAAAACTGAAAAGTAACCCTTACCGCCAGATCGTGGTGGCAGGAAAGAAGCCAGTGTAGCGAGGGATTATGAAACTGCAGAGCGCATTGAATGAAGTGTAACAGCTAATGTTTTAAGCGAAAACATTGCAGCACCCGCAATTTTACGTAGGAAATTATACAAGACTGACTTGTACAAAACTGCGTATCTAATCCCGGGATTTATAACCATCACGAATCATTACCAAGGTTATCATCCAGCTACTCTAGTATATATAACGTGACCAACACATTATATTTAGTTCTTGCTAATTTGAATAATAAAATTTGCGTTAACTCCACATGAGAACACGCTGCCTGGCATTTTCATAATTTAAGTAATGCAACTATTTGCAAATGCTAAATGCCGGAGATACTTACGATCGGTAATATTTGTATGTACACTGTACCTGTAAAGTTTAACTGCGGTAACGTATCGTGATAGCTAGGTGTTCTCCTCCAACCGACAGATGTAGAAATGTTAATAACATCAAGGAAAACTGCTCTGGATGTTTCTTATACAACTCTTCTGAAAGGCGATCTGCTGGTTTTCGCCGATACTAAGCTGTTTCAAAGGTGCTAAAAAGGCGCTTCACAGAATTCTCACATGATTTAAGTCAAAGAAAATTGAGCAGATTTGTGAGCCGAATACAAAATCCAAAGAAAGATGATGAGGGTGAAATTAACGCAGTGGGGTTTTTATACAGGACAAAATTGCTATTTTTCTCCACAGTTGCCGGTGACACCTCGACAATTTCTGCACATTCTGCATGGTAATGATTAACCTCGTCGAACTGGTATGCTACCGGCTTTGAGGATCATCAGTCAATTCCCTTACAATCATTTTGCGCGCATCGCATCACTGCACTTCAATCAAACACTCCCTGAAGAGGCGAATATGCAAGACACCGCCGACGCAGGCATGCAGGCACAAATGATGGAAACTTCATCCAAACGACATTTTCCGCGGACACATTCATGGCAAGCAAGCCACGATGCCCTTTCCGTTGTCAGACGCATCGATTACTGGGCCTGAAGGGGCTCTTAACAGGTTAATAAATCTGATGCCGGACAGAGTCCGGAAATTTACCGGAAAAAAAGAAACAATACAAACCGCCGATCGTGAAATACCGATTATGGAAATCAGTATTAACTTCGCAATCACAATAGTGTTCATTGCAACTCTGCACACGTATATATTAGTAATAATATTACGTATTATTCCCCAGCTGTGTGGATCCTAGATTTTTCTAAGTGTAACTTCCTCATCACCGCTCACGAGCAGGGTCAAGCAGAAAATATATGCTGCCATATACTCTGCATATCCACCAGAAGATATATAGTCCAACAGAAAATATATAAATCCAGGTCCAGCTCACCGGCTGCAGAAAATATATGCAGATAGTTCCAGCAGGTAATATTTTTAGCTGTGGTTTTGCTAAAATTCACCTGTCTATATTGGCTGCTTTTGCTTAAAATTAAGAATTCCTGTAAAATATAACGATTTTTGTTGTTTAACTTGTGCAATATAATTGCCTTGTCGTTTTTTAATTCTTCGTCTACTAACTATGGCCACACTGAAAGTGTCTTAAGGGTTTGTCTGTTCAATGAGTAAACTTAAACTTAACGGTAAAAGATTTTTAAGATAATAAATTTGCTACACACATTCTAAACACGACAGACCCATTAAAACAAACGTGCAGTAATGAAGAAAATCTTTTCTCTAGGCAGTGGGCATAAGCAATCGAAAATTCAATAAATCCAAAAGCGGGAGCAGCACTTCTAAGTAAAATGCTTAAAAATAACGCAAGACAAAAGAAATCTATGTGCTATCTTCGAAAAAATGCAGAAAAGTAACAGAATGCAGCAGGTTGGATTGCCGGGTGTAATGAGCGCTGTTCGACTGCACAGATGCACTGATGTATACGGCCTACGAATGTCCATTTTCCTCCCGCGGACATCTTTAAGGTGACCACCGCGGTGCAGCGGGCCGATGTAGGTTTACAGTCTCAAGCGTTTGAACCTTTCCCACTTGCACGAGTGGTAGATTTCGCAGGTGACCGTGTACTTCGTGCTCCAGTGTGGACTCCCACGGTGCTTACTCTAGAACTGTGCAAACGAGGGATCAATGCAAAAATGTTACAACCAAACGGTATGAACAGCTCTTAAAAAACAGCGAGGTAGGGAAGAATTCCGGCATAGAGATCTCTCTCTACAGCGTATTTGTAGAATGACGTAAGAGTTAATACCTGAAAAAACTTGTTGGTAATGTCTGGCGTAATGTACAGCATGCATACATTTGTAATAAGTGTTGACGCGAGAGTGCTGAAGTTACTATTCCTTATCAAACATAGAACATTAATGTCACTGCCTAAGTTATCGTGATTTATCAGCATCATGGTAGTTTACCGAAAACACGTTCTACGTTTCTGGCAGCAGCTTACCTTAAACAGCAATCTTTAAAGCCTAGTGAACGCGATCGCACCGGTGAAATATTCATATTGACGCTTTGAAGGTAGTTGACAGAGATGATGTCGATCAGCGGGAATCGGTTGATAATCTTCTGCACTTTCGCGTATATCTGACCGCGGTCGGCGACATTCAAGCGTTTTCCGATGGAATAATACAACGCGTCCATGTACAGCGCGTGGAGCTGTCCCATCAATGTTTTATTTGTCGCTTTCGTGATTACTGCAAATCGAACAAGCGAAGCCACAAAATGTTGAGAAAATGTCAAAAATTAATTATTTACCAGTTTTTGAAAAATTTTAAATTACACAACGCGATGTTGAAAACTAATTTTATGGTTGCACTTTCGGTTTCGTAAATAATATTATGTATAGCGCGAAATAACTTATTCTAATATTAATACCATCTATCAACTAAAAGATGCTGCTCGGCGCTTTAATTTACCAGGATAGAAAACAGCCGCGGCTAACAGCAGGTAAATCTCCACTAAGGTCAAACCAATGCTGTTAAATGACGCATAGAACGAATCCCCGAAACGCAAGAAATCCGGATCGAACTCCAGCGATTCCAGAACGTATTTGGAAAAATGCAGCTGGTCGGTACCAGGAAGCAAACTATAATATTCTCCCTTGTGAAAGTAATTTGCACTGTGCACCTGCAAAACATAAAATCCATGCGGCATGCAATAAGTGAGCGAAGAACCGGCAACACCGGTGAATTGCCAACCAAGCAGCTTATTAAGTGCTTTTCCACCAATAAGGTCCGCTGATCGTCCGGCGATAGCTCGTCAAAACCAAACAGTAGCGATGCGAACATGTAGAAACGTTGAACTGTCTGTTGCATATAAATTGCGAGCAGCTTGATCCAGTGCGACGGTGTGGCTTGCGGCTGATGCTGTATCATTTGACATGCTTAGTAAACAGATGAAAAAAGCACATTGCACGCGGTATAAAACATATTCTCAAACTATTTTCAGTTTTTCTCAACGATGTTTTACACCAAGCAGTCGCTTGCGTTAGTACGCGCACGCTTAGTGGATTTGAATACCGGCGCGGCGGCATTATAAAGAGCACTGTGAATAATACGCAGAGTACCTCCAGTGTTAATTTAATCCTAGTAAATTCAATTGGTAATGTTTGATGAGACCTATTTGCACATTTGGAAAGAAACTAACCGGCACGAGACCGTCCCGCAGCGCCGAAATCATGAACATGGAGAAAGCCGCAATTTGGTCGCCGTAGGCGGCTTCGTACGCCGTCGTTACCCCAGCAATCACCTTCTCCAGCGCGCTATTCCTCGCTTCAACCACCTTCCAATATGTGTCAGTGGTAGATGGACAGTGCAGAGAATGGACGAAACGGCTGGGCAGCTTTGACTCTAGAATCTCCACGGCATCCCGACGGGTACCGAAGAGAGCTACGACACGTGGGATTATTAAAAAACGGTGTGAAAACCCTGAACGCAACGGAAAGCATAAACTTCCGTTATAAGACTTCAAAATCACTTAAATTTAACATTGAGAAATATTCAGTAACAAGTATGTATCAGGTAACAAGTATGTATCAAGTAACAAGTGTGTATCAAGTAACAAGTATGTAAAGTAACAAGTATTTATAATCAAGTACAATGTACGACAAAAAGAGGTTGAACCGATCAGTCGGTCCGCGGTTCAGAACAACCTCGCAACGCGCATAACCGTTTGGCTTGCAATCTATGCTTAAGTCTACGAGAAAGCAAAATGGCTAGAATTTGTGCTGTTCGCCATAAACAGCCACAGGTTTAGTATCAAAAAGTTTAAAATTTTTTTCTACACCTTTTGATATGCAACTAGTATAGCTGCACTTTGATATTCACGGAGCGCGAGCGTCTGAAAGTAGTGAGTAAGCGTCCAAGGTTTAGTGGTGGCATGTCGTTGCGAGGTTATTTTGAACCGCGGAGTGGCGCGGACCGACTGATCGGTTCAACCTCTTTTTGTCGTACATTGTATAAACCTACCTTTAATAAAAATTAGCATGTACAAAGCAAATTACCTGATATTTGTTCATGCTCTGTTTTATTTTTTTTTCTATTAATTTTTGCCAACGTGGTTAATTTGGTAGCACGACAACTCTATGACCTTCATTTCGCTGACCGACAATTTGATGACCGACTTGTTGCTGACTGCCACAACTTGCTGACTGACAAATCGCTGACCGACAGTTCGTTTTTTTACAAACTGGCTGACCGACATTTTGCTGAAATTAATTTGCTGAACGACAGCTTACTTGTCGGTCAGCGAAAGTTCGGTAATCGACAATTCGCTGACCGACCCCTTGTAGAAGACGAAAACTTGCTGACCGATGATTTGCTGACTAGTTCAACGCACATAGCGATATTTACGCGAAAACTAGAATCTTCGTTGGTTTCATAAAAAGGGAGCAATACTGTGACAATTATGATTGAAATATAACGTTTTGCCTTTTTTTTACCCCGTATTAAGTTCACGAGTATGTTATTGTCTCAGCAAATATAAATTATTTATTAATAACTGTTAAAAATGTTTTAATAATAATAACCGGTTTCTTAGGTTTCTAAGGTTTCTAAGGTTTCTTAAGTTTTTAATTTTCTTTGGTTTCTTAGGTTTTTTTTAGGTTTCTTGGTTTATTTAGGTTTCTTAGGTTTCTTAGGTTACTCTTAGGTTATTTTTAGGTTTTCAATTTTTTTAGGTTTCTTAGGTTTTTAAGTTTCTTATGTTTCTGAGGTTACTCTTAGGTTATTTTTAGGTTTCTTAGGTTGTTCAGGTTTCTTAGGTTTCTTATGTTTCTTAGGTTTCTTAGGCTTCTTAGATTTCTTAGGTTTCTTAGTTTTCGTTGGTTTCAAAGATGTCTTATGAAATTCACTCGTGCGCGCTAGTAGAAAAAAGGAGAAATGGACGACTGGAATTATCAGATTGCTGCATAAGCCGGTAGCTGTGAAGAGCAGGAGAAGTGGTTGTGTTATCCGATCATAATCCCCCAAATTGAGGGTTCCGTTGAAAGAGCGGAATTTTTAATGAACTTTTGTTTCTTTAAATGTTCTCAAAACGTGTTTAGGTGAAGTTTTGAAAAAAAAACGCGTGATAAAGAATTGTGTTTCACAAGGATTTGATGGGTAACAGAATAAATTTGTGGTCAGCGAGTTTTCGGTATTTTTATAAAACGTCCGTCAGTAAAATGTCGGTCAACAATTTAGTTAAGTAAGCAAATGGTCGGGTAAACATTCTGTCAGTCAGCAAAATGTCGTCAGCAAATCGTCTGTGTCAGCGAACTGTCGTTCAGCAAAATGTCGTTCAGCGATTTGTTGTTTCAACTAACTGTCGGGTCAACATTTTTGTCAGTCAGCAAATAGTCGTCAGCAAGTTGTCGGTCAGCAAGATGACCGTCAGCAAATCGTCGGTGTGCCGGTTAACTTACTGTTACTGCCAGCAAATACACTTAACGGTCCACTCCGTCGATGTAACTCGTTCATGTATTTTGCAAATACTGATTAGTGCTTATTCCACGTCTCCGTCTTTGTACAAGCTTGTCCGGTAATTTCTGCCGGTTCAAAACTGCGAAATACACAAATTTGCGTGTTACGCCAAACGTAGTGTAGTGGCAATCGCTATAGCGCAGACTTTGCGCTAAATATGTGCTTTCTGTACCTTTACGACAGAAATTACCGGACAAGCTTGTACAATCGATTTTTCACATTCGTACCACACGGACGCATGAGCTGTTTGGAGCGCTGCAACACCTTGCTCGTTGTGAATCGCCCCGTCTCCAAATGATCACCCTCACTGGTTATTTCGCGGGAACGCACCAAAGGAAACCCGGCACGGCGTGAAGCGATACTCCCCGACGTCAGTGGTCGCGCAGCTGCAGCAGTGACTGGAGCCAAAACAGCAGCAGCTATTGCCAGTAATCAATGCTGCTATGTTGTTGCTGTGTTATTGCAAGGATAACATCTTAACCGAACAAAATTGATCTTCGGTCAGTTACCTGAAGGTGAGTACGGATATGGACGCTGTGATTCGGCTTGGGCGGATGCGAAGCATATTACTAGAAAGCAAACGCGTTACGCGGACTGTCATTAACATTCAGAATATGATAGTACACGATATTCTGCCAAGTTCGTGCAAATGACGCCTTTGGCAGAACAATGGTAACTTTTGGCTGTTGTAACTGTTCGCGCAGGCGCGATTGAGAAGGCACTCGTCACCGGCAGAAAGGTAAACGAGTTGATGGTTACGGATCCGCATCAACCTTTCAGCAAAACTGCGCTAACAGTTCTGTCTGACCAGGTGCGGCAATCCATTGATTCCACAATGTCTACACGTTATCCCAAAATAAGGATGTCTTATGCCTCTAGGGTTGTAAGTTCAAAAAAAATTATTGTGTCCTATGGTTTCTTACTTTCTTTACTATCGTCAAGCGCTTACGAATTTTGTTCCTAAATTAACGCCCGTTCAACTCTTAAGCGCATTTTTCGTAATTTTTAATACGCCTGGCTGTTTTAATGTCAATTTTTGCACAAAACTATTGAAGTCACAAATAAGTGTTTTGGCCGTATGCGATTAAACACCCTCTGCTCACTAACAGCAAAATTGCTAGGAATACTTAATTATAGTTATTGCAAGGTTAAGGACTGCCGCTACGGGATCCGACCGAACGGCTGGCGCGGAAAGGTAGAAGCTTCTAAAGTGCCGCAGGCAGTAACGCTGATGACGATTTGAAGAAACGGTTACGTGGCATCCGCCCTTCTGCTGGATTCCGATAACATGATTGATGTGGCGCTTTCGGCCAGCAACCATTAATCAGAAACTCTTCTGCAGCAAAAGACACTTTCCAGTCTCGCCTACCGTCAGCATGCCTGAATTAGGGAGGGCACCCGGACGCGCACCATTTTGAACAATGAACAGAATTCTAAGAAAAACACATACGAGTAGCTCAAAAAAACACTTCGCTACACTTTCTTATGAGATTTTCCGCTCGCTTTTAACTGACCTCAACTGAAACTGCTTATATGTACAGCGCTTCCAGGGATCAGATAGCTGTTCACGTTGAAAAGGATGCGAGGTCACGAAAGCACCACTATGATTACGATTACCGAAATCGAGAAACACCAGATCACCAGGCCAAGAAGCTTCTTATCATGAGTTAAGTTTACGTTCTTCTGTCGTTCCGTTCTTCCATTCGTACGAAACGTTCCAGTAAATAGGGCTGCTATCAGACCGCACAGCTTCCGAGAAATGCGCACAGTCATGCTGGCAGCCATGCTGCGCTCATGGTAAGCTAGTCAGGACAGAGAACCGCTTAGAAAACATGCACGGTGAACCGCTTAGAAACATTCACCCGCGTCAGTAACACTATTTCTGTGCGGCCTACGTTTTTTTGCGTCCGACGTCAGCTCGTTTTCTTAGCCAGTGTCTCGTTTGCGTTTTCTTAGCCAGTGTCTCGTTTGCTTCCTTTGGGACCACCCTACCCCTTTCGAGGGTGGACTTGCCTAACAGCATAATTCCAGTTCACGACGCCCTTACCAGACTGTACGCGATGCCCCGGAAGGCCCGATCCCAATGACCTAGGGTGCGACAGGTCGTTGACTGATATGCGTCGTCCTGATGTTCGCTCCTTCGCCGGATACGCTTGTACAGGCAGCTTTCCCAAACTCATATTATTTAACCAAAACGACAGACCCGAACAAGATCACAACGCGACGCAGCTTTTGAATCAGGAAAACTCGCAGGGAAACAGAAGTTATCGATGGAATGGCGATGCATACAAATTTAAGAAAGACGTCTGACGTTGCCAAGAAACTGAAAGCCGAAAATAATTGCTGGACGTGGTCTTTTATTTACTGCTGTCTGTGTAAACGCATTTTACAATGCACGAGCGTTATCGATTTTCCGCGACTGTGTTGCAGCACAGCAAATATTGAGGAAAGGGTGTGCTGGGATAATTGCATCGTTGCAGTGCCGAGTATGTAATATTTATAAGCAGTCAGCCATTCAGTAAGAAACTGCCGTACTGTGTATTCATCTCCCAGCCACGCACGTGAGAGTTATTAATAAGCACTTTAAGATTTCATCACCTTGATTACGGGTTACATTCAGTTAAATACGCGGCCGTAATACACAACGCCCGAAAACCTCTTCTACTGTAGAGAAGCGCAACCTATCTAGTTAGTTGCGGGTCTGAAATCCCGCAACCGTAATTCTCGGGATTGTTTAGAAAAAAGAAAATTTATGTTTACAGTTAAAATGAATAATAAGAGTTTCGTTACTAAAATTTTCGCTTCGAGAAATCGAATTGGTTGATCATCGGGTTGTTTAGAAAAGAGTGGATTTGTCGCTCTAGAACAGTATATCGGGAATTTATGGTCACCTTAAATTCTTTCAATCCGCTCGGAGCGTCACCCAGGTAGCAGAGACGCTGTGTGCAGCCATGATATGAAGCTAAACTGTACCGATTGGTCCGTCTGTCCGCATATTGTCTGGTCCTGCCATTTTTTTCCCCTGCTGAGCACCGCATAGGCTACATGCAACACCGAGCAATGTGGGTGCGTGGCAGTGCATGTACACGCACTCCACGATCTCTGTTTAACTTACAAGTTAGGCGGACGGCTATGATATAACGATATTTAACGTTCCCTGCGTTTTATGACTGATGATGTCTGCTTGGTGTGCATAATTCATACTCTGTATTGGCTGTATGGCATACTAATAACACTCTTAATTATTCACTGATTTTTTCCGCTCCAGAATTACACAGAGCGGCTGCGTCCGGACCGAGAATCTAGTCCTTTTAACAGACTGCCGCAAGGAAGCGATTGATTAACAGCTGTACGCACAGCGCGGCATGCGAAGCCTGTTCAGCAATATGCCAGTTGGAATTGCGTTAATCCGGCGGTTAAAAAAATGGTACTCAAGCTGTATGCCGCAATAACGCATGCAAACTTACGCGCGCGATAACTTACCAGGCACCAACAAATTGCACTTGCATAAGTCTTTGTGACCGGTAGAGAATACAGTGTTGAATTTGTTTCCATAAAAATTGTATTCGAAAGTTTCGAATACAATTTTTATGGAAACAATCGAAACAATGTCTTGGCTGTAGGGACATTTTCGATTATCAAAGCCGTTAGGTCGCATATCTGCCAGAAGGAGCTTTATTATGGATGAATGGTTAGTTGCGTCGTTGACGCGAAATTCTATCGAGTTTAACGCAGTAAAATAGTTCAAAACTTTCCCGTTACCGGCTGAACTAAACGCCTGCTCATACAACTTTCGAATCGAAACTAGTGCACCAATGACCAGACGGCAGACGCGGAGGTGTACACGATTGTCGGGCAGCCATGTAGTGCGTCACATGTGCGGTCGTACCAGCGACCGCGGGCCCAAATATGAAGACATACATTAAAAGTGACCCAAGTATGAAAACTAGAAGAGTACTAAAGGACGTACTGGGCTCAGGTAGCACCTCAGTATTCATAACACAGCAAACAACTTTGAAACAGCCCTCCCGGGACTCCGTAGCGACAAACAGCCTTTGAAATATTTTGACAAAAAGTCCTTAATGCTATGCTTCTCTATTGTTATCGCTCTATTTGACCGAGATGAAATCAACTTGATGATCGCTTTGTGGCGTATTTCAATATCGGGGACATTTTTATCGCACTGATTCCTTCCGATTATTCCCGAGAGAGAACACTCATCCAGGTGGTGCAATGACCATGGCATCGAATGAGACGGCAACGGTTTGATAATAGCTATACAACACAACACTCTAGAATAAGAACACATCCAGGATTATTGCCAGGTTCTGCACTTCGTTCTGGCAACTGGACTGACTTGGTACTTTTTTCTCACCGCAGTGCTGGTCGCTGTGGTGATGGCAGTTGTAAAAGGGGTTCCGCCGGTGTCTTGGCAGTAGGGACATTTTCGATTATCAAAGCCGTTAGGTCGCATGTCTGCAGGAAGGAGCTTTATTATGGATGAATGGTTAGCTGCGTCGTTGACGCGAAATTCTATCGAGTTAAACGTAGTGAAATAGTTCAAAACTTTCGCGTTACCGGCTGAACTAAACGCCTGTCATACAAATCCGCTGGCAAATTCAGTACGTGAATATCGATTCATTAAGCCGGAGTGGACTGTGTGTCAAAAAAAGGCTTACCATTAGGTTATCCACCACAGGAGTTATCTGCAAAATAAACAGTGTTGTGGTAATAATTATTTGGAAATCCATGGAAGTTGTTGACTGTCCCCACTATCAGTGTGCTACCAGGCGGTGCAATCAGCATGAACGAACACGTGACCAGTATCGCTTATGATTGTGGACAGTCTTTTTCGCGGTTGTTAGGAAATGACACTGTCCACAAACCACTACCACACTGAATCGGTTACGCTTCTACCTATTCAGCGAGCAAGCTGCAGCACTTCACTGTATGATGCGTAGTCGTGCTTACTGTAACGAGCTGACAGTCTATTTCCGCCGAGTCAAAAACAGCGGCGAAAATAAGCCTTACAGCCTTACAGAAAATGAGTGGCTTCGGCTTCTTGCGTTCACATACGTATACTTTTACAGTTGTAAAAATTTTACTGATTTTATCTGTAGGCAGCGGTAGTACAGCAAGTACTGCACACATACACCCACCCTTACTGCTGTAGGTTGCCAGAAATATAGAAAAGATTATTAAAATTTTAAACGAACAACAGAAACCTAAGGTGGCGAACCGTATTAACGACCAGAATAATGTGAACTTACATATAGGGCCAGCCAATGTATTCCAGCCACAAACGGGATCCGGACGCCAAGCAAGTCTCAGATGCTGCTGTTGTTGTAGTCGTTGTTGGTGTTGTCGTGGTGGTCGTCGTAGTTGCTTTAGTAAAACTCCGGTTAAAACTCAGTTACTGAATTATGTAATTTGCTAATGTCAGGAATTTTGCTCGTATCATTGACGGACGTCGAACGCTCCTACGGCTTATGGCTACGTTAACAAACTTACTGGTCGTAGCGGCAGTTGTTGGACAGGTTGGGCACGTCACCGTTGGACAAGTAGCTACCGGGCAGGGAAGGAAGAGCGCTGTCAAAAATTAAACCGCTGTACCAGTAATGACGACAATTATTATTGGCGGTGAACTTGCCCCTTAGGGATGAGTAGACAACCTCGCTGTGGGTAAAAGCCAGCGGATGCGGTGTCATCGCTAATAATTTTCTCGGAATCAACGGAATCGAGAAAGATGTTTCCGTAACAACGGCTAAAAAAACTGAAATTACCAAAAAAATTTCAACAATGCACAACCACCGGAAGTCGCCTGTTGTATGGTGTACGTATGTAAGTGAAAGGGTCAGTTTGCAAAACTTTTATTTTGGTTAGTTAAGATGAAAAGTCTCTGTAAGGCCGGTAAAGGCTACCGAGCAGGTGTACTAACTGTACACGATCGCTCAATGTTGCAGTCTACAAGATGCGGCGGACCTTAGAGCGTGTTGGTATGTGCTGTATATATATTTTTCGTGTGCAATTACTTGCACTGCTCATCGTATGTAGAGGCAGGTTACAATGTACAAGCAGTCGAGTGACTTTTAGCTCTTCAAGACAGCGACAAACACAAAGTCACGGGCTACATCCAACTCCATACTACGGCCCGGCAGGCCACAATATTTAAACTCTACAGTCGTCAGGCACGGGTGGTGCAAGGCCTTATCGTCTGAGTTATACTGGCAAAGGGCACCGTTATTTCTTTGGTATTAAGAAACCGAACTGAAGCGCCGGAAGAGTGCAGTAACGGTCGGCAATTTTACTATTAAATTGTCATTTATTAATTTCGATTTTCGCAACTCAAAATTTTTTCTTTTAAAAAATATTCAATAATCTAGTTGAAATCTATATTTAAATTACATAAGTTCCGTAAATACAAATAGTTCTAAATAAATCGTTTTTTGAAATCCTGGGTGACCGACGTGAGCGATATGAACGCCTAAAATCCGGTTATTTATAACATAAAAGGCTTTCGCTTCGGTCGGCTATTGATGAAAATTCTGAAATACTAAGTTGTACCCTGCATAATTACTTTGATTTATCAGTCTAGTAATAATCATCTATGATTTTATGGGGCGTAGCGCAGTGGGAATCGGGATAAGCTTGGGGAAAACCTGCTTCCGGTAACATGATTAGCGAAATACAAAATTTGCAGATTCATTTCAGAGTTCACTTAAATTTTCGGAAAACAATGATTTTCTTAACCTGAACCCCGGAAAAATTGATTAGGATATTCACATTATTTTTAATACAGGCTACAAACACATCAGAGCAGTTGAACTTACGTACTGGTAGTTGTGTATCAAATGCAGTGGGTGCCCGTGCAATCCCGGCATCCAAGAGCGGCATCGCGAACGCATTTGTGATTGGCATTGCCGAACGACGCCTGGCCAGCGCAGCGCCGGCCGATCACTGGGAAAGGGTCCCGCAGAGCAGCGGCTGAGGTCATACCGGCGCCCGAATTTTTGAATGCGAAATCCGCTGGGCTTCCGTCGTCGGCGTTTTTTTCGGGAAATCGCCGGGACCTGCACCTGGTCATTGGTGACACTCGCGGGCGTTGGTATGGCAGACGGAAGACTGGCGGATTCAACCAGGTATATTTTCCCAACGGTGCAATCAGTTACGAGAGCGTCGCTGGGACGCAGCACAGCATTATGAGCTGAACCAAAGAGACTGCATTGAAAGTCCGCCTCGGAAAGCTCGTGGTGAAGGTCATCATTCGGCATCGGTGGACGCATCGGAATAAAATTAATTTTGGCACTGTGAGAGTACGAATCGTTGCTCCAACTTCCGGTGCCGGTTTTCTTGTAATAAATGGCTGCAAATGCAGCAAGATTACATGCTACGAGTACGTAATAAAAATTGACACTGCTCAACGCTGACCGATTTGCCCAAGGTTTTGACGGGTGATAGCCGAAAACTACAGTAACGTTGTAATTACGGTATAGCTATCGTAGGGTAAAAGAATCACACTGATTGATTAAGTCATGTTATCGGGTAAGCGACCACCATTAAAAATCTTCCTTAAAAAAAGAACATTTTCGGTATTGCTCGGCCTATGTTGCATAAAAATAAACGGGCTGGGTGCACCGGCGAGTTAATGGGCATGTTCTGCATTCGTGCAGCGCAGCAGTTAAAAAAAACATTCTTGTTATGTTTTAATCCATTAACTTCCCGGAAAACAGAACGGACTTGACAGAGCTCCTGCTGTCAATCACTCCTGCTGATAATTAATACATAACAAGGTGTGCCAGTTCACGGTTTACCAACCGGTTGTGCATAGAGTGCTACCTGCATTATTTTCTTTTCACAACTTGTAGGAGGTTGGAAAAACGGTGCATATATAAAATCGAACGGCTTCTACCGAAGCGATCTGCGTGATCTTTACGTGCAAAAAATGATAATTCTTAATGGAAAAATTATCGTGAAACGAACTACGGAATTTGTTAGACGAAACGATTCGAAATGAAATCAATTTAAAACAAAATGAAACATATTATACAAAGTTAGAAAGAAATATAATTTATTTTTCGAATGCTTACCTGTGGACTGTGGTTAACAAAGGTATAAGAAAAATATTAAAATAAATTAAAAAGTAAGTAAATAATATGGTATTAAAATAAACATTATTAGTTCGTTCCTTTGGGGCGAGCATATGTGCGTAAGGTGGAGGTGGTCGACAGACATCCACAACTTTCATAAACGCTAAACATAGAGAACGCTACGCTTCGGTCGAATAATGCAAAAAGTACAAAGTATCTGTAAATTGTTAACGTTCTTTTAGCGCTTTCATTGTGAATAACAACTTAAGTCCCTTTCTCGCCCAGCTGCCTTTCCGTGCAAGTGTTTGATCCCGTTGCATTCTGAAAGTGGTATACGTACTGCGTTGTAAAAGATACCTCTCCCTATGCTGAGTCTGCCGCATGCAGTTTTAGATGATACTCGTATTTTCCACCATTCAGGCCTTGTTGGAAATTCAGTGCGGCAAGCGTTTTGACGCAATCAAAGCTGCGGCATTCTGCTAAGATTTGCAATTAACCAGATTGCATTTTAAACTCACTGGCTGTTTTTCGCTGGTAATACAGAAGATGTGCCGGTAAATTACATGGTAGTTGGTATACCGAATTAGGGCACACATTTACATAACCCTTTCCTTTGGTGCACACCAAAGGCCTTTTTGCATTGTTTTATGGCATTCGAAAAAACAAATAATACTGCGTGAAATCGTTTGCGCATTTAACATCCGGTAGGGGAGATAAAATTCCAAAAGTTTAGACAAACAGATGCGTACCAAAATTTTCGTTGATAACCGACCTTCTCCAAATCTGGCATGAAAACGTGGCAAGAAAAGCGCTAAAAGCTCTTATTCCGGACCTAATTTCCATGTTTCCGGAACGTTCAATTGAATTCCGAAAATGTTAAATATTTATTTTACCTTTGAAAGAAACTTGGAACCGGGTTTGATGTGAAACGGATCCTCGTCCTCATGCGCGCTTCATCCTAGAATGGATGAAATTGATAATGAGACTTTTCGTACGCCTCCCTGCGGTAAAACATTTGGAATTTTATTTCACCCGTAATCAAGCAACCGGATGTTGCGCTAACCAACGGTTTTCACACCCATGCATGTATGCAAATCATGCGGCTATCAAATGCCATAAAGAGTAACTGGGAGTGCTCCAAGCGAATTGTTTTGTAGATGTACAAGAATTTGGTACCATGTACTCTTTCCTTAAGGAATAAAGGAAGTATCCGGCACTAAGTACACGTTCTTGTACTACAACATACTCACCTTCGCCCGCTTCCCTACATTTTTATTTGCGTTGTTTTGCTATATTCTGTAGCCAAACGATTAGTTCACTTTGGGCTTTAAAATTCGTTGGCGCAGTTTCCGGTTGTGTAATTATAGCGAAAAAAGAATAGATGGTGAAAAAATGTACCAGTTTTCGTGATACGATCAGTTCTCTGAAAAGCTTTGCTTATGGACCCACTAGCTTGTGGACACCGTACCGAACCAGAGTTCTGAGAAAATGAGAAGAAAACAATGCAAAAACCAGTATATTTATTACACTAATAATATTTCTGGTTTCTGATTATTGCAAACGCCGAAATGTAATTAACCAACCAGGATAACAAAAATGCTGTGCTTCACTGGCTCAGTCTATGGTTCCATTTCGCACCTTTCGATAGAAGCATTTTTTTTTGTCCCGGAGAAATCTCTCTCTAATTCTTCTCTATCTAGTTCGGTTTGAAGCGGAGATATTTGGCAGGGCTATATTTGTTTTGTTCAGCTAGACGGCCCTGATTCAGCAGGAGCCGTTCCGCAAGAAAACCAGAATATGAGTTGGTATTGTATGGTTGCCTCCACGAATTATTTCGCCATCAAGAATAACTTTGTTAGTACCAACTTTGCGGTACAAAAAATCTGGTTTTTTTTGTATTTCTTAAAGTTGTATATGTATACGGTTTTCTATCGTTTTCTACGATACGGTACAGGCAGAAAAACGGTAAATTTGAGTGAGACATACCGTTATTGTTACCGGAAAACAAACCGTGTGAGTAGTGTACACGCTGATCTAACTGCGTTTGGCGCACATTTTAGCGCTGATCTGACTGACAATTTGATTGGTCAGACACGCCCCTTCCTGATTGGTCAGACTCCACCCCCTTCTCTGATTGGTCGGAACCGAACTGTTCAGAACCGAACCGCCCATATTCAAACCGGTCAGAACCGAGCCGAACCGTTCAGGACCGAACCAAGACCGGCCGAACCGTACTTTACCCCCTTTCTTTTGTTTATTTTTCCCCACCCTCTTTTATTTTGTTTTCACCGAATAACAACGAACAAAGTAAAACAAATCAGACCGCATGAACATACGCAGGAGTAGCAGTACAATCTTTGACAAAAATACAATTTCGGTTAAATTTCTGATGGTCATTGTATGGATCTCCTGGTGTCCAGTTGCTCATTGTAAACCGACAGAAATGACATTTAACTGTATCATCAGATCCGGTGTAGTACAGTCCGATCCTCGCCATGGCGCC